CGTTTTCATCTTCACATCGTTTTCGTGTTTTCATTATCGATGATTCCTCTGTTTCTGAATTTATTGGTAGGATGAATTTCATTTGCCCATTATTGAATATTTATTATCGGATGTCTTTTTTCTATGAGTATTGATTCGGCTAGTGGTAAATTAAAATGGTTGTTATTGTAATGTAAAATTTCAATATTGTGGTCCAAGATTCAATTTATTCGACGCAATCCTAGAAAGTTTCCCTACCCAGGACTTTCCCCTATCCACCCCCTGGGGACGCGCCTCATAGCCAGTTCACCCCAGTATGAAGAAGAACCAGCATGAAAAAGAACCAGAGCTAAAACCTAATATATACTGCCGATATGTTGACGATATATTTGTTACATATGAAGATGATCAAATAACAAAACTTCTACAACGACTAAACTCGTCAAAATTAAAGTTTACAATGGAAAAATCAACTGACAGTAAACTACCATTCCTAGACGTACTAATACAAAATGTGCAAAATAAATTTAAATTCTCAGTCTACACCAAAGCAACAAACAAACAATGTTTATGTCTCAATAGCAGTAGTGAATGTTGTCAAAAATATCTAGAGAGCACAATTTTTGCTTTTGTAAACCGAGCTGACACGCATTCTTCTGATATAGAAAGCAGGAGAACAGAACTAGATAGAATCACTAAACTACTCATTAATAAAGGGTATAAAAATTCCATGATCCAGAAAATAATAGTACGCAAAAAACAAAAAATCAGCAACAACAACAGTGCAACCAAAATAGTAACAAAAATAACATAGTAATATATTATAAGAATCACATGTCAACTGCTTTCGACCAGGATGAAAAAATTATGAAAAGAATCATAAAAAATAACGTCCAAGCAATCAACGATTGATAGCTCTGGTTTTTCTTTAAATAATATTTCTTCGATATTTCCAACTTAGAAGTTTGCGAAGAGTACTCCCAATGGAGAGCCCATTGCTACACCGTCTATTTGCTGATATAGTGTGTTACCCTGGCCAACAACTTTGGCTGTACATATTCTTAACAGCGCAACTAATTCATCTTTTGTAATTGGTGGTGGTGAATAACTGGAATTATGCTGATTGTGTCCTCTACAGGGACATTTGTAAAGACTTTTGTGATGAAAAACAACTGCACTTGTAAACCAGAATCGATAATGGATCATAGCCATGTAATATATTTCTTCAAATGTAATATTGGTAAGTGTGGGCACCATAATTATGAATATGTTGGTATGACGACGACCAAGTTATCGAGAAGACTCATGATGCACGTACAAACTGGCGCTATAAAGAATCACATGAAAGAGAAACACAAAACTAAAATTACTAGACAAATCTTAGACCACAATGTTGAAATTTTACATTACAATAACCACCATTATAATTTACGACTAGCCGAATCAATACTCATAGAAAAAGACATCCGATAATAAATATTCAACAACGGGCAATTGGATTTCTTCCTACCAATAAATTTAGAAACGGAGGAATCATCGATAATGAAAACATGTAAAAGTGTTATATTTAACAATGTTGAAGATTGTAAAACGAAGTATTCACTTTAAACAAACAAGGAATCAACAAAGTAGAGTAGAGGCACAGTATATATATATATATATTTGGGCATCTAGGCACAAACACAGCATATCAATCAGTTTGAACACCGAAGATGGCATAGGAATACCGAAAAAATCTTTTTTGTTCGATCATGCATAAAATAAACAAAAATTTTGGTTTTGAACTAAAGAAACTAGATAATGATTTACGATCAACATGTGGCTCTATACTAATATATATAAATATATATATATTTATATCCAGAGTTAAAATATGTTTTTAAAAAGTAATTAAATTTACTTACATATTCAAAATGAAGAAGTATAGTTTGTTAATCAGTTTTCAAAAACTTTGTTTTATTTTATATTCTTATACTTTTTGTTGGACTACAAAAATGACAGTAAGACACTAGACGAGACAATGAACATTTCATGGCAGACTTGGGTTATCGTTGTTAAACGGTTTATGATTAAATTGAGCCACATGTTTATTATTGTGTACTAGGCTTAAGTTATACCTTCTATTTGACTCATAAATAATATTTGCCGTTTTAATTGTCAACAGGTTTTAAGAAACAATATGAAAGAATCAAGTTCAAAAGAAATTGCCTGTTCAGATGCACATCTCGAACCATCTACTGTTCTCACCTCAGAAAAGTTCGAATCATCTTCCGCTGCTACTTCGGAAAAGTTCGAATCATCCTCTGCTCCTAATTCAAATGAATTTGAACCATACGCTGCTGTTGCTTCAGAAAAGTTAGAACAAATTAAAACTCCTAGTCGAACATCAGACGTAAAGTTTGTAAATAAGAAACACAAAAAAAGGATTGCAGCTAATTTTCAAGATTATTCTGCGGCAATTAATTAATTTCTTGTTTATTCCCCACAATTTTTATGAATTATTTCACTTTTATTATTGTGTTTTTTTTCATAAAAATACTAGAACTTTTTTATTGAAATATCGTAAGCATTTATTTATTACCATTCTTACTTCGCAACATGTGTTATTTTGAGGGAATTATTGACACCATCGTACGTTTTAGACGTGTTTTGCTACTCTAATCAACGTTAACGAATCGTTTTAGATCGCATATATTTATGATTCTCCTCCGGAGTTTTTTATTTGTGTACGAAGTGGTTTGGTTAGCAATGTAGAATTAAAGTTACAGTTGCTAAACGTCTTTATAGGATGATATAAATATTGATGTCTCGACTCTGTATAAACAGAGATTGTGACCAAACAAATTTTCTATTGTGCGAGGTAAGATATGAAGAATAAGTTGAGTTTGTCGAGGAGCTTTCAAGTTTCACGCCCGCTGGGCTACGCATGTTTAACTAGTTCACAAAGTTTGAATTTATGAAAAATGAACTCTTCAATGTTCATGTGAGCCAAAGGGTGTTGTTTGATGACCAATTAGAATGATGTGCTGCTGTTTAAAATCTTGCATCAACATTTATCTTAAATTGAATCTGAAATACTAGAACAAGTTTCTAGCGAATACAGTCATTTAAAAATTTGACCGAACGAAGAATTGCTATTGCACGGAGACTGTTTGCATCGTTGAAAGGAATATGGAAAAGTGGTGACTGTCTATCTGGTTATTTGGTTCCGACTACACTGAGTTTAAATCCGTATTGTTTTTCAATCAGGACATTATTTTTCATGGAAAAAGAAAATAAATTGTACGTGTACTTAATCTCACCACACATGAACCCGTTGAACTTAATCCTGACTATACTATACTTGATACTCATTATACCTGGTTCCGCATTCGCTTAATTTTGTTACATTTTGTTCATCCGAACATTTAAATTAATTATTGAATTATTATTACTGTCATTAGTAGTAGAAGTGATAAGTGGGTACCTTATGAAAGGATCATCAATTAATTGGTTTTCCAGATTCTGCTCCATATCCTTGAACTAAGGCTTTTAAACCTGCTACTCGTTTTTAACTTTGCTGTTCGTGTTGCTCATATAACTAGAATAACTATAACGGCCTTCGCTCACTTTTAACGGTTGAACAAGGAGCTTAATTTTGGAGTGTGATTTTTTATAGTTCGAGTCAAAAGTTACGATCATGGATATGGCAGACCCGTTATACATTGTTCATATATATTTAACATCAAGGTCAATCTAAGAAATATTTGTTAAAAAGTGAATTTAAATTAAAGTAAATCAGTTTTTAGCCGGTTGTTTAGCGATTATCGTTCAAGCTACTTTTTTTGTCAATTTATTGACATTTAATTAAAAAATTTGTCTATTGTAAGACGTTTGATCGTAAAAAATCAATAAAATGTTAATTACTACGAAAAAATGTTTAATGTATACGCGTTTAATTCCATAAAAGTAAGCAAAATTATTAGACAGGTAACAATTATTATGCCATATCCTTTATAACCATGGTTACGATCGTATATTTACTAATTACGAAATATTGCTTTTATTTAAAATGTTAAAACTTTATTTTTTTAAAATGTTATTCACTGTGGTAATTTGGTATAAATTTTAAAAATAAAATTGACATTACCGAAAATAATTAAAGCCAACCCATAAGAAAGTGTTGTATATTGGTGAATAAACCTCCCCTTGGTCTTGCTTTTGAGTTTTGTTTCTCACTTTTCTTGTTTCTAGTTACTTTTATGCTAAGGCTGCTTTTTCTTTTCCTGGTCCTTTTCATTAAAAATTTTTCCCTTCTTCTCTACTTCTCCATCACTTATGAAATCCATGGCGGAATTGGACTATAGCGTTTAAATATTAATGTCGAGGTAAAACTTTTACATTATTACGGATGGAATCATTTGTCAGCCAATTAATATGTTTTCCATATCATTCATGTTTGACTTAAGTTCTGATCTTGCTTCTAATGAAATGTGTGATAGAGGGGATATCACAATTTCAGTATAAAATTCCATGACGCTCCTCGATAAATTTTACAAGCATTTTATAAATTTTGTTTGGAGATAAGAACAATATCGATGTTATGTATCTTTCATGAATAGTGCAAAGAGCTTAAGGAGAAAAATTGTAAACAATCAAAAAAATTAAAAGTCACTGACAATCTGGTTTTTTAATAACTTAATGTTTATATAGATTGGAATATATATACATTTACGTTATAAAAATTCTCCAAGAGTTTTAAGTCGTATTTAGAATATGTGTGCTAAGCGGCAATTAGCTTCTTTTTCGTGCCTTATCCTTTCAGGACATTGGCGACCATCGACCTCCACAAAACTCGATTTTTAACACTTTGTAGTAGTTGAAATGGGGTGATATCCAACAAGTGACACTAGGATTTCACGAATGTAATTCGTTGTTGACCGCGATCTTTTCTCCCTGCAACCTTTCCGGTAGTTGTTAGATTTTTCATTCCTTCTTTCCGCATGATGTGACCAAAAAACTTTAACTGCCACCGTCGGATTATTTGTAATTTCCTCTTTTCATAACCGGGCTGTTTTAATACATCCATTTTGATAGCATGAGAGGTCCAACTAATTCTTATAATTCTTCTCATGTGTTATTTAATTTGAGTCAAGTCCGACATATAGCGAATGTTGATTTTAAAAAACATATTAAATAATTGTGCGTTTCATTCATTTTTATTTAATATCAGATTAGTCATTTATCATTTTTAGTCAGGTATATCTTTATGTGGGTATTTAACACATTATGTATATTTTATACCTTAGGTCTGGCACCATTAAGCTATTGGATTCCATCTTTGATACACCACCCATTGAATAGCCCCAACCACGAAATAATTTTTTTATCGGGGTCTTATATATATATATATTACATGTATATATGTATATATATATATATATATATATACATGTAATGGGCGGCGTGATGGCTCAATGGTTAAAGGCTCCTGGTCTTGCTATTACTATGACTGGGTTCGAATACAAAGAGATCCCCGCCTATCATATGCAATGTGTATGATGCGTGGTTTGCACGCGTATTCATATACGCTGTGTGTGTTTGTCGTTGAAACCTCTGAAGTAAACGCAAAAGAGAGAGAGAAACCTTTAATCTTTTATATATATATATATATATATATATTTTACAATATTCTATAAATTCTACCGAATGTTTGGCGTTAATATGTTTGTAGTTCGTTTATTCGACATTCGATTTACCGAGAAATAGTAGCGCATCTTTGTTTTTTTTTTTTTGTTTGTAGTTCTATGTCGGTTTGTGTTCTTTCAATCTCACTGCTGCATTTTTAATTTTAAAGACATAAAACACTCTGTTGTCTTTCAAACGATTTCAAAGTGCATAATAATAAATAATTGCTCTTCGTTCACTTCTATTTAGTATCAGATTAGTCATTTATCATCACTAGTCAGGTAAATCTAAGTAAATGCGGTTTTTGGCCTTTTGTTATTAATTACTTTCTAATTATTTTTATTTTATATTATTATTTTTTTTATTTAAAATTTTGTATTTAATTTTTAATATTTTTTAATTAATTATTTTATTATTGTTATTCAAAAGTCTTATTAATAAAAGTTCAAAATATGCTAATAATTAATTAATATTAATTATTATGTATGATGAAAAAAATTAATTTTAATATAGTAAAATTATTAGTATATTATATTAAAATTAAATATTATAATTAAATGTATAATCAAAGTTCAATTTTTGGTGAAATCTTGTCATTGGATTTACTTTATTTTATATTATTATTAAGAAATGGCTATTGGATTTATTTAACTTTATATTATTATTATTAAGAAAAAAGGCTAAGGCAAATTGTTGCTTGCCCAGCTCATCTGATGATACTAATACTAAAACTAATACTGCATTAGTCATTAGTGAATTTAAAACCTCAGTATACACCAAAGCAACAAACATTGGTTTATGCCTCAATGGAAATAGTGAATATTGTCCACCATATCTAGAGAGCATGAAAATCAAGCCTATACATATATGCATTTTTCTGATATAAGAGGCAGGAGAACAGAACTAGATAGAATCACTAAAATACTCATTTATAATGGATATAAAAATTTTATGATTCAGAAAATAAAAATTCTAGTAAGGAAAATTGAAAAGACAAACTCTAAATTGATTAAAGCCAACAATTTGGTAGAATTTATACAATACAGTATAAAATATGGTCTCCTTTAACATATATATATATATATATATATATATATATATATATATATATATATATATATATATATATATATATATATATATATATATATATATATATATATAAAAAGTAATTTATGATTTAGTTTTATTATTAAAATGTTCAACGCTTCTAACAGAGATGACAGACAACAAGGCTTCTCCCAACAATCAAGATGATTCAAAGTATGGCGGGTGTGAGGGTCCAGAAGCAATGTATGTCAAGTTGATCTCATCTGATGGTCACGAGTTCATTGTGAAGAGAGATCATGCACTCACCTCAGGAACCATCAAGGCTATGCTCTCTGGGCCTGGTCTCAACATTTTTTGAAATTACAATTTAAATTTCCTATTGAATGAGCTTATTACTGATCATAAGTTTCAGTTATTGCTTTCGGCAATAGAGTTGGCTAAATTCACTTATAAATATTAAAAATTAGCAGATAAAATTTTGTATCTTAGACATATCATACAAACATATTTGATCATTAGTAAGAAGTTGAATCTCTCTGCAGATTTGATCTTTTGTTCAATTTTTTAATCAACTTCCATTCGCTGTTACGGCTCATTTTTTTGCTCCATGCACACCATACAATGTAAATATGCACATCATAAATATGCATATAGCAAAATGTATACATACATATTTTTATTTAAGAAAAATCATGACGTCATGCCAGGGGCATAGCCAGGGTATTTTGCGCCCATGGAAATACTATAAAATTGGCGCCCCCCTCGTCATGTTTAATCACATTTTTATGAATGACATTAACATTGTAACAATTACTTTTTACAAAAACAATTAAAATGTTAATGGAACATTGTATTTAAAGACTAAACATAAATATACAAATTACAACATATGATTCAGTCACTATCAAAGATAATTTACATAGTTTACTCTTGTGAAAATTTTGTTTGCCTCATTTCGGTGCTCCATGTACTTGGCGCCCGGGGACATATGTACTTCTCTCCCCCACCCCCCTAGCTTCGCCTTTGCGTCATGCATATGAAGCTTGTGACGGTATTTTATTCAAATACAGCTTAGCAAATCTTGAGGTTTTTAAATCTCATTCACCTGTATAACAACGTGTGAACCACGGCACTCTTACTACCTAACTGACCCTAACCCAAATCACACTATTCAATTTATATCAATTTTTACAAATATCTATCTTTAAGGTCAGTTTGCCGAGAATGAAACAAATGAAATTCATTTCAAGGAAATACCGTAAGCACTTAATTTTCAATTTAAATTGTTCAATTTTGACTAACGCCGTAAGAACTATGTTTTATTAAGAAAAATGCAGGTAATGTATTAAACTTATTCAGGTCTCATGTACTGCAGAAGGTTTGCATGTACTTTACATACAAGGTTCGATACACAAACAGCTCTACTGAAATTCCGGAATTCCCAATATCGGCTGAAATAGCTCTTGAATTGCTTATGGCTGCCAATTTTTTAGATTGCTGATATTTCTCTTGCTTACATACATCACAGATAACATTTATAAGTTTGTAAGTAACAAAAATAAAATATCTTTCTAAACATGTGGTTTGTCATTAATACTTAGCTCGTCAAAGTTTCTCTCCCATTTTTCAAGATTTTAGTATACACCCGCAAATAAATACATTTAACTATTACAGCGTACATGTTTGCTTGCTAACTGCCATTCACGTAAAACAGTAATAAACTTAATTTTTTTGCAATTTTGTGCAGTTGAAAGAAAAATGCTTTCAAGATGGATTGAAATCAAAAACATCAAAATGTTGTTTACTATTAAAATTTTTATTACCATGCATTCTTTTTTATGTATTTTTCCTTATTTGGCTTGGAAATGTTTTTGTTGAACGTCTTTCAAAATTAATTAATTTTAATGCCTAGTATAATTTTTAGAATTCCCTTTTTTTTATCAATCAATCAATTAGTTTATAAAGCGCTATTTCCGGATATTCAACAACACTCCTCAATGAATTTTGCTCCGAATTTTGTAAGTGATGGTGAAGTAGTCAGAGAAGGAGGTAGAGAGTTCCTGAGGAAAGGGCAAAAAAAAGCAGTTGCTTATTTAGCAAAACAGTGTTAAACACAAATTAGTGAGAAGTGAGAACAAGAAGACGGTCTTAAACCGGGGCGTTTAGGTTCATTAATATATTTGATGAGTACTTCGGAAATAATTTAATTTGAGACCTGAACATTAATGTGCAAATTTTAAAAATTATTCTATATTTTATAAGAAGCCAGTGCAAGGGAACATATGAGAAAAGAAAGGGACACGAGCATCTAGACGAGCAGCAGAGTTAAAAGCTTTACTTACAGAATAGAGTGTAGAATCAAGAAGACCATAGTAGAGCGAGTTACAATAATCAATCCTGGATAAAACTAAAGAAGTAACAAAAAGGAGAAAGTAGGATCGTCAAGAAAAGACAAGTTTTTTTTATTCTACGTTGATGAAAGTAAGAACTTCTAGCAACACTATTAATCTGGGAAGAAAGAGACATGCTAGGATCAAAGGTGAAGCCTAGACAAGGAAACTTGTGAGAAACATCAAGAGTTTTAAAATCAGATAATAAAAGGAATTGTAATAGAGCATTTAGATTTATTAAAACAAATTAATTCAAACATAGAAGGATTAAGTTTAAGACGCATAGAGTCAGACCAAGCGAAAATTGAAGAAAGACATAGAGATAGATTAAGAAGAACACTATTGAGATTAGATGTAGGAAAAAAGTTTAAATATAAGAATTATCAGCATATAGATAGATGACTAGTGAAAGAAAAATTATTAATACGAGGTAGTTCAGAAATATAAAAAGAAGAGGGCCAAGGATAGAACCCTGAGTTTCCCTGAAATAGAGGAGTTAGAAGTAGAATCATTAAGAACAGCAGAAAAAAAACGATTACAGAGATAAGAAGAAAACCAAGATAGACAAGAACCGTTAATAGTAAAAAATGATCTGGCAGTCTCATTTTAAACGATTAAAAACGAATCACTCTGTAAATGAGGAGATAAAAACATTAACAAGTTTTTGATTGTTGTGAACTATTCCTTCCTTGTTCGAAAGCAACGAGCGTATGAACAGTAACGAGGACTCTTGGAATGAGCTCCCTTCAGGGTATAAGAGTTGGATATTTTTCGTAAGAGGCCGGAAAGTGTTGTAAATTTTAAAAAAAAATTTCATTTCTGAAAATGATTTTTGAAGCTCGTTTTTTAGGAGATGTATGTGTGTACCAATACGCAACCATCATTAATACTGATGGTGATGCTACCAAACGCGCTGGGCAACAATTTTAATTTTTGAAAAGTTATGCGCCTTTAAATACGCGCATGGATATAATTGATATGGCATAATAAATATTACCTGCCTCATTATTTTTCATAGTTCTAGGGAATTAAACGCGTAAACATCAAACATTTTTCCATAGTAATTAACATTTTATTGATTTTTTTACGGTCAAACGCATTGAATTATATATAAGAATGGCTTTATAGTGTTGACCTTCTTCTCAAGGTCAGGAAGCTTGGAGGCAAACTTTTTTAGCACCAAATTGTCAATGGGTTTTTCAGTTTTCCAATCTATATTTAGCTTCTTCCCTGTTCTTGTGCTACCGGCGGCAAATTCTTGTAAAAATTTTTTACTGCTGAAATCATTCTATGGCAGTTTTAATCGATTTTTAACTTAATAATTTAACTGAATTTTGATCCATTTTGATTTTATAAATGTCACTTTCTTAAAAGTTTTACAAATGTTACATTGTGCCAGGAAAAACTAGACTCATACTAGTAGAAGAGAGGCTTTTTTGTATTTTTATTTTGAATTTTTGACTTTTTATTTTTTAAACTGTCTAATAAATTAATGTTAAAAAAAAACTCAAAAATTTCAATGTCGGTATGTTCGTTCGTGTACTTTAAAAAATCGACGTTTGTACTGGCATCGAAATTTTCTTGTTTTATCAACAACAAATAATTGGTTAATTAATTAGAACTAGATAACAAGCCACATAAATCTTTTTATTTTATTATTATTAATTAAAATAGTAATGTGGAATACCATATTGATGTTACTTTAAATTTTAATATAATCAATATATTTTTTCAATTATAATAAATATTGCTATTGAATCAAATAATTGTATACATTTTTTTGGATATGCTACCTGAAAATTTCTGATCTTTGGAATGAATTGAGCAGACGATAAGCAGTAAGTTAGTTTTTGAATATAATTTCTATCTTATTAAATTAAAAATGCCATTAAAGTGTATAGTAAAAAATTGTAATGGGACATATAAAGACCAAAATATATCTATGCACAGGTAATAATATGATCTTAATAATATTTTTATATCATTTGCATATTTTATGATTCACTTGACCTCTCTCCATGGATTAATAGATATAAATTTCAATAATTCATTTTTGACAAAATGCAATATGCATTACAGCATTCCTCAAAAATCACCTATAAAGTCAGTGGATCAATGCATTGAATGGCAGGTGTAGAGGTTATGAAAGAAAAAGATCATATATATGTAGTAAACATTTTGATTCAAAATCCTTTTCAAAGTCAAATAAAAAAGTTAGAAAGATGCCTACCCAATAGTATTTCCTGGTGTGGTATTTGAAAAGGCAAAAACCAAGACAACACAAACTGAGGCGATTAATTTAGTATTTATATATAATAAACAAAGGATTGCTGAAGCAATATTGATTAATTCAAACCAAATATTAATATACAACACAATAACATTGGCATTTGCCGGCTTACTATCAGATATTTAACAAATAAAACGATAAGGATTTGGTCATTTTCTTATTACATTTTATAAAATGCTAATTTTGATTCTAATGGAAAATATGTTTTTTTTTGTATTATGGGTTTATTATTATTATTAGGATGCCTTTGTTAAAATGGCTTTTTGTCATAAGAAATACAGAATATAAAGAGTTTTATTACTTTATTGGGCATATAGCATATATATATATATATATAATATATATATATATAATATATATATAAACTTATCCAAAATATATATATAAACTTTTAAATGCATGCAGCTATTTACTTTCAATTTAAAACCATTTTTAGATGTTTTGCTCATCAAGCAACAGCAAAGGCAATCAAAGTATTATAAGTCCAGAATCATACTGCTCCTGGCAACAATAAGAAAACTTATGAGTGAATGCAATAAATTAAAAAATGAATTAGCTACATACAAAGGTTTTATGCTATATAACCATAGCAAAATGAATTGAAATTTTGACTAACTTTTTGTTTATTTTTGCTTCTAGATAAAAAACTCATACCATTTAAAAGAGTTAACAAAGTATATGATGATAGTTACAAGACTGGTCCTCGTGCATACCAATTTTTAAGAAAAAGTGGACTAACACTGCCACACCCGAGAACATTGAACAAGTAAAATTTTGTTGATCATGATTTTCTATGAACTAGTATATATAAAGAAATGTATACTGATAGCCAAAATCAATTAATCTTAGTTTAGCGTCCAGAGACTCAGTTCCCCTGAGGTAGGACGTTGTTTTCTTTGCCATCAAGTTTTTGCCCCAATTAGGTGATCAGAGTGTAGGATGGGTGGTGAAGTCCAATAACATCGACCATCTCATGCGCAGAATGCAGGTTTTTTTTACTTCTAATGTAAACCTCTCCAAAATTCATTTAAAATTTTGCATTAATATGCTGTTACAAATCCCAACAAATATGCAGAAAATGCTTGATTTCAGCCAGAAGAAACATATTTAGCGAATCATCAAATCATCTCATCATACTAAAAGACAATGGGCAATTGACATATCCCTCAAAAGGAGTATTAAAATAAAAATGATACATTTATCTATTTTCTGGTAAAAGCAATAAATTTTAATGATTTTCAGATCTGCCAAGAATCAGAAAGATTATTAAAAATAAATAATTATTGTTTTAAGAAAAAACTTGTAATTGAACGAAATAAATTTTAACTAACGAACTGAATGCAGATCGGCAAAGAGTCATTAACATAATTTCGGGAAGGCCAAGATTTTTTCTAATTATATTTCAGATTTTTCTAAAAATAAACCAAAATGCTCATGAATAATTAATTTTTAGAAACTTGCCTCCAGAGGTAACTTGCCCGTTGAAAAAAATTTTCAATGTTAAAACGCTGGTAGGGCGCTTCCAGTTATATAATTCCATGGTCAAACGTCTTACTATCGTATTTAATTGTTAAACTTTAGACAAGTTTTTTAATAAAATATCAACAGATTGACAAAAAAAGCAACGAGGACCATAATCGCCAAGCAACCGGTTAAAAACTGATATATATATAATGCGTCTGCCATATCCATGTATACGCGGTGTATAGTGTTTTGTACCAACCCTGTCTTGTAACTACAGTGAAAATTCGTTAAATCTAAAGATAAATCAGCGCAAAGACTACCTTACCTTGCTCAGAGAATCCCTGTTTTAAACTATTAATCATTTGATCCATAATTACTTAGTAAACAATGGCAAAATTTATCTTTCACACTTTCAAGTGTCTGGTTAGCTATTATTTTTTTCTTTCAAAACAGTTTGCGCTTCATTGTCGAGATTTCTTTTATTTAATTCGTTGTTTTCAAATTGAAAAAAATTTATTGTTGCTTAAAAAAATGAATCGAAATTTTGCGTTTTAATTACTATGTTATAGGTTCTCACTACTAACGTCGGATGTTCATTATATTCTTAGGCAATTATTTCACTGTTTCAGTTCGGTTATGTTGAATACAAAGTATTATTTGAAGCTGTTATATAATTAACATAAGTCTAAGTTAAAACTAAATATATAACAACTTTTTTTTGGCAGTCATCGGCCCGCCGGAAATTTCTCGGTGTTCCAACCCAAGCTTGAATGTCGTCAATTAATTATTAACTTTATTTAGAGAGCATTAGCTTTGTTATATAGACTTTAAATTAAGTATGTGGCAAATTGCACTACCGTCAAGTTTATTGATCTTCCGTAGGTTCACCGACTTTTGATAAACAACTTCTTCAAACACAAACTTGTTTGAACGTTATTTGAATGCCGACAGTAATGGAAACACTGAATCATTCACTAATCCAAGGAATACGCTCGACGTCGCACGATCGTCAATAATTCGCAGCGCGGATCCATAGTCCCACAACTCCCTCGGTACGACTCGTGCTGTATAGAGATAGAGCAACTTTACAATCCCACGTTGCAAGGATGTCGGCCTACAACATAGATTTATAAAACCAAGATAATAACAATCAATTAAAATGAATTTGCAAACCAGCATTTTTACTATTGCAGCGGTTATGACAAATCTAAACAATAATATGCGGTTTTTTAAAAACGTTTCAAACTTCTTAATTGTATTTAGTTCAATTCATACGAATCTAACTATAGCTGATATTTATTATATATTGTATTTTACAATATTCTATAAATCCTACCGAATGTTTGGCGTTAATATGTTTGTAGTTCGTTTTTTCGATTTTCTCACTAAAGTTTTTTGGAGAACGTTTAGTTTATTAAAATTCAAAATAAACTTATTTTCGAATTCATGCTGCAAATAAGGTCATATGTCGATTCCGAATGAATCATCATCAGTGCAAGTTGATTTATAAATTCTTTCTGGCATAGGCTTAGTTCATTCTTGACATCACAGTGATCCCATTGATTCAACAAATCGGTTAGTTGGTTCTCCAAAAAACTTTAGTGAGAAAATCAAAAAACGAACTACAAACATATTAACGCCAAACATTCGGTAGAATTTAAAGAATATTGTAAAAATTATGGTCAATTACCAACATTTATATATATATAAGTTTGCTTTCGAATAACCTGATTTATTAATCTAAAATAGAAAATCGAAATGAGTGAATAAAGAACATAAATAAAATCAATTGAAACAATATGAAATATTACAGAAATTATAAATGAATAACCAACCTAAAATAGAAAAATTAAATTCCAGGATCGTTTACGAAGCCAACAATAAAATATTACCACGTGCAATAATAAAATATGACCACGTGCTATTTGCATTTATATATAAGATGATACCAAAGTAATGAAACCTAATTTACAAGCACAGAATAGAAATACATAGATAATTATATGAAATATAATTTACATCTCTCTCCCTCAAGTCACTTTTTGAGGTACATAAAGTGACAATTTATTAATGTGAAAAAAATGTGATTCCTTCTTCTTCTTTCCGCAGTCTACTTCGAAGATCGACGGTGAAATCTTGCTAAGAATTTTAAACGGACCAACTCTTATTCTGTCCATTTTACCTCTATTAAGTTTACTCCCATTCTGGATATAAACTTGATTGCCCACTTCAAATTTGTACTCTTGACGATTTTTGTCAACCCTTTTTTCGTTTATTTCAAAATTTTGCATAGAATTTCGACCGGCTTGTATTCTATCTGCAGCTAAATCGCTTTCCGGTAAGTCATATGGAGTGATTTTATGCCGTATAATAAGTATTCAGGTTCAAATTTCGTGGTACTATGAATTGTCCGATTGTATTCTTTGACACATTCGTCTGCAATAACGGACCATGCCTGTTTTTTTCCACTGTTAAGTTTGCATCTTATTCTGTTTAGTCTTTCATTTAGTCCATTTGATTGAGGGCAATCTACGCAGGTAAAAACCATTTGAATATTCATCTTGTTTAGATACTGCTTTAGTTCTGTAGAATTAATTCCGGTGTACTGGTCGGCTAAAAGTATTTTAATATTATTTTTCTTAGCAATCGGATCAATTAACTTTATGAAATCTGCTGCGCATTGACTTTTTGTAGTGGAAATCCAAGCATATCTACTAAAATATGCATATATTTCTTTGGTGACATATTACCGGCAAATCCACCAACTGTATCAATGGACATAATTTGGAATGGTTCTGTCGCGGATCCTAGTTTTGACATTAATCCAATGATTCTATTTCTTCTAGTTTTGTTCTCTAAGCATATAGTGCAACTTTTACAAAATTCTTCAATTAGTTGATCAAAGTTTTTGAAATAATAAAATGGTCTTATTTTCTCTTTCAATGTTCCAGCTCCAATATGTCCATAATATTCATGCACCTTTTTTTATTATTCTTAAACCAAATTTATCAGAAACAAATATCCTTGATTTGTCCTTCAATTTTTTGTAAATAATACTATGGCGTTTTTCAATCTTCTTGGCACTCTTTAATTCAGTCATGTTATCATTTTGATCCTGAAGAATTTCAGGTCTTTCAATTAAATTTACAACTTGGACTGCATCCTCATTTTCAAAATATTCTAATACTGGTGATCGAGAAAGTAAATCAGCCATTATATTTTCCTTTCCTTTCTTATAAATAATATTTAAGTTGAATTGAGACAAATAGTGCACTAAATCGCCCAATATTTCATCTGTTCTACTTTTCGTTTTTAAATTCTCAAGAGGTTTGTGGTCACTACAAACAACAAATTCACGACCAATCAAATAATATTGCCAGTATTTTATTGCGTCTTTGATAGCTTTGCATTCAAGATGGATGATGTCCATTTTCTTTTCTTTTTCTGAAAATTTTCTTGAAAAGTATGCGACAGGATGTAACATACCATCAGGATGTAGTTGTTTCAAAGTAGCTCCCATTCCTTTATAACTGGCGTCAGTTTCAATATAAGTGTCTTG